GAGCGCGCGTAATTTCTGTTTGACGGAGCACGCGCGTGCCGACGGGATTAGGCCTACAAATCTTTTGTGTAGGCCAAACATTATCACATAAACGTTTAAATTCTGCTATAATGTTTTGAATATTTACGTTTAATTCTCCCATTTTCGAAAATTCTAGAATTTATTCTTAAATGTAATAGCGCCATCTTCCTCCGCGACCGTTTCACTAGTAAAAATTTGCATATTTGTTATAAACTACTATAAAATAGTACATTTGTTGCTATTAATTCTGATTACAGTCGACCCCCCTATAACACTGTTGATTTTTCCGTTTTATATGAATTCCATGTTGTACAAGTCACTTAGATTTTACAAATACGTGTGCCGGGCTGTGAACGGCTCACGTATTTGTAAAATCTAAGTGACTTCTACAACATGGAATTCATATAAAACGGAAAAATCAACAGTGTTATAGGGGGGTCGAATATATTAAATTTGTAGTATTTACTAAAAGTGTTATAGAGTTTATATACTTTTAACATAATTATTAACTAAATTTTATTAAAATTTATTAGAAGACACTCCAACCGGCAATTTCCTAAAATGTAACCATAAAAGATTAAAACATATACTGTATATAAGCAACAAACTATCATTTTAGGATGTAAAATGCTAAGTGTTCTACATTCTGAAATGGTAGTTTTAAAACTTAGTCTGAATATTGTATTGTACCATAAATATTACTATGAGGTATTATATGATATGACATGGAAATTTATTAGAATAAAATACTGTAGATAAAATGGAACTTCTGTAACTGAAAGGATATCCAGGAATATTGAAAGCAATAAGGAACTGGAATTAAACTTAATGATGTCTTAACAATCTTTGATATTGAAGTTTTGTACTTACACAATAACAGGCTTTTGTTGTGTCTAGAACAGGCCTTGAATGAAAAGGAGAGGTTTGAACATTTGAGTATTTTGCTTACTTAGTCTAAGACAAAAGGCAATTTCTTATAATGGATTGATATTCATTAAGTGACGTAGAGACTTGAAGCTTGAAGAAAATTGGAGGCATGCTTTTCAAAATGTCTACAACTGATTCTGATGTTCTATCAATTGTATTTGGAATGTATAATTTTCCTGCACATAGTCTTGTTAAAAACATATTGAGTTTTAAAAATCATTTTTTCCTATATAAACATTTACTAAAAATTTATCAAGAGGTATCATGTCCTATGAAATTCAAGTATTAAAAGCTAGGAGACTCTACTGGAGAGACATTTTGCAGGATATCTGTCTGTATTAAAAACAGTTTACACAAATACAGGGTGTAACAAAACTAATGATCACAACTGTAAGGGGTTATAAACCTTGCCAAAACAAACAACTTTTACTATGCAATGTGGGGTCAGAAAGCAAATAGCAAGCTTCAAGAGGGCATTTGCTTGGTGAAAATGGAAAATACAATAAAGATGAATAATAAAGGACAAAGAATCTTTATTATTGAAAACTTCACAACAAAGGCCCAAATGAGCAACTACCAGCTGTACTACAGGCTTTACATCTGCGATGGAGTGAATTACACATACATTGGAAGGTTCCTGGAATTTCACAAACGTCTGCAGCTGCGATGCTAATTCGGGCATCAATGTTCTCTGGTGACTCAATGGGCATCTCGTAAATGACACTTTTTAGCCCCAGAGAAAAAGATCTAGGCAGGACAGATCGGGAGATCTGGGAGGCCAAGGGACGGGCCCAATGCAGCTCCTGATAAAATCTTACTGCTTCTGCAGCATTGCCGTTTGCAGCCTCGTACATAATGTGCATATCAGCCTTCTCTGCATTCGAATATTGCTGCATCTCTAGCAACAAATAGAAATTGAATGATGGGTTCTGCAAAAGGAGACGTTTCATCCACTCCAGAGAAAGCACCCTCTCTTGGCTTGCTGTTTGCTTTCAGATCCCACATTGCATGGTAAAAGTTGTTTGTTTTGGTAAGGTCTATCACCTCTTACAGTTGTGACCATTAGTTTTGTTACACCCTCTATATATACTGTGTGTTTATAATTAAAGTTTCACTTTGAAATGGCCATAAAATGAAAACTACTGGACAGAATGTTATCAAACTTGGTAATAGAGTAAGGACGTCATGGAATTTTATTTCCCACGAAAAAAAAAGTTCAAAAACTCACCACCAACGAGAAATGGTGCTGTCTGCAATATTGTTAAACGAAATAAGACTAAAAACATTTTCAACGATGTCTTCATATCGGTTTTAAAACACATTACAGAGCATGTTCAATGTGGTGTTCACCATTTTTGATAAGCAAGTTACATTGCATTACTGTGTTCTCAACAGTAGCACTTAGCATATCAGGAGTAACCCCACAAACAGTTTTGTTTTAAAACTGATTAAAAACATTTTCAATGATGTCTTCATGTCTTATTTCGTTTAACAATATTGCAGATAGTGCCATTTCCCATTGGTGGCGAGTTTTTGAACTTTTTTTTCATGGGAAATAAAATCCCACAACGTCCTGTACACTATTATCAAGTTTGATAACATTCTGTCCAATAGTTTTCATTTTATGGCCATTTCAAAGTGGAACTTTAATTATAAACACCCTGTACATCAAATGCCTATCACCACAATCACAATTTATGTAGATGTTAAAATCTTGGACAGCATTCACAAATAAAGATATTATTTATTTGAATTAAGACTATTCACAAAAAAAATGTATTCAAATTCATAGGATGTAATTGACAAATGTGTAATTAGTATAATTTTTGACTTATTAAAATAAATGAAAATTATTAAGAGAACTTTTTATAATACAAACAAAATGAAATTTGGAATGAAAATTTGCATATACNATTTTCTCCCTTATGTTTTTTTCAATAATAACAATTGTATGCACCCCCAACTTTTGCACCCCTTCCCTGTATATATCAATTTAGTGAACACACTTTTTACACAATATGTTCAAATGGAGGAAAAATTATATATATATATATATATATATATAATTTTTCCTCCATTTGAACATATTGTGTAAAAAGTGTGTTCACTAAATTGATATATACAGGGAAGGGGTGCAAAAGTTGGGGGTGCATACAATTGTTATTATTGAAAAAAACATAAGGGAGAAAATAGGAAGAAAAAAACATTTATTTTTATTTACAAATTAAATCAGAAATAAATATGGAATACAAACTAATAAAAGATGATAAAAATACATATGTTTGGTGTTTATTATTATTTTCTCTCAGATTCTCAATTGTATACTTACTTTTGCACTCCTCCTGTATATATATTATCAGTTAAAATGTTCATCTGATAGATAAAAATTTATCACTTTTTTGACATTTTCATTAGAAAAGTGTGTTATTTCAATATTTCAAAAATTACAAATTGCAATCACACTATATCTGTGTGAATATGCATAAAATATTATGAAAAAGTTGATGCTGGTTTGGTAATCATATGTTCAGTGATTATGTTATTGAACTGTTAGATTATTCAATAATTTAAAAAAAGTGATTTATGTAATACAAGGTTGGCTCCAAAATATAATGTAATCTTCAAAAGCAGAAATTTCTGTTTTGAGTTCAACTCTAATAACTGTTTCAGAAAAAATTTTAGTATAAAAATTAAAAATAGAGAAATGGTGCTATATATATATAAGTTAGATTTAACACATAAGTTACCATTATTACTGCCAACCATATTTCTATATTTGAAAGTTATAATTATTGAAATTTTTATTATTTAACAGAAATATGTTGCAATTAAAAATGTAATAGTGTGTGGATACTTTAATAAAGTTGGTAATTTTATTAACACTGTTGCTGTCACTATTGGAAAAAAAGTTGCACTAAATAAGCTGATTTTTTCCCCCACAAAATATGTCAGTTATACACAAATTAATAATAATAGAAAGGTATGTTTTTTTTTTTCATTTTGAGCAATCTTTATGGAATTATATGTGATTATGTGAAATTGAGTCATTGGCACCTACTCAAGGATATAAATTGGCACCTACTCAAGGATTTTATAATTAAATATGTAATGGAAAAGTAAGAAATAAAATATAATCTCTAAAATGTTTCATACACTTCCAAGTAGTAAACAACATCCAAACACGCACAGTTTACCAAAAACTTCTAGCATCCAAATGATGCAAATCACATCAATAATTGTAATGAAAGTTGCACGACACAGCAAAAGTGTTAATAAAACTAATTTATGTATGTAAAATAAAATTGAATCTCTAACAAGTTACCACTACACATTTTTCATAATACTACAATTCTCTTTCCACATGAAATAATTTATTTAAAAATATTGTAATAAAATTTATTGACAATATAGACATATAAGCTTTTTTTGTTTTAAATATTCTTGTTATTATTGAAAGTTGTTTATTTGATCATACTACAATATAAATAAAATAAATAGTTTTTTGAGTCACATTACTGTTATGTAACATTCTTTTGCATGCAAAAAATGAATTGATTTGTTAGAAATTTATTAACATTCTGAATGAGAAATCAGAATCAAAGCATCTTAAATATAAATAATTGTTTGTGTATAACACACATTTGTATATTTCTTATCAGAATTAAAGTAATAGTAATTTGATATAAGGCATGTATTATGAATTAATGTTAATACATTTGATTTTGATTGATTCAAAAATTAAAGGTTATTATTTCAAAAATTTCAACTTTTATTAGGCATTAACAGTTAAAATTTTCATCTACAGTATAACACTGTAGATAAATAAATTTTATCACTTTTTTAACATCATAAATTTTTATTATTATATAAAGAACATATCTGTCTGGTAACATGTTAAATAAAAATGATGAAATACTTTAAATATAAAAGCACATCTTTTAAATTTTTATTAATAAATTGATATATGAAAATTTTTTGCTTTAGATGTGCTTAAGTAAAAAAATTTTAATTATATATAATATTTATATTACAAGAAATGAATATACAATAAATTTTGGTTTTATGTCAACAAATTTATTTTCAAAATTTCTAATCAATGACTAAACAGCACAAATTGTACATAATCTATATACATGTGTCTGAATCAAGACACAATTCCTCTGAGTATACCAATAAACTTAGAAGTTTAAGATATCTTCTGGCAATATATTTATGAATTATTTCTACTTTTGTTATATACAAAGAAACATTATAACAAAAGTTTCTTTATCATCATGTTACACATTTGATGATAGCAATAATTACAAAGTTTTTCAAATATTAATTTCATTTACATAAAAGTTTTACTTAGGTTATGTTAAAAATATAACATCTGTACTTGGAAAAAATGATTCACACAAATTTTGTTAGTGACACAATCGTTGATACCTAATTGACAAAATACTTTTGAGGAAAATATAGGTTTAAATTATATTGTCATTTTAATGTGCAGAAAATGTAGGGATGAAGATTATTAAAAATTTGAAATTTCTACAGGAAAAAAATTTTTTTACACAAACAATTATTTAATTTATGTTAAAAAAATTTCACAGTTCCTATATATGAAGCAATTTCCTATACAAATAATTGTGTTATCAGAGCATGCCAAATCCTTTTGAATAATTAATTGCTTTCAGAAGACGTTCTTGTAGTTTTTCTTTACTGGAGTATTCTGGAAGTAACAGTACATTAAAACACGTATGAGCAGTAGGTAACCTGTCAGAATCAGGACCATGTCGGGCTATTACCAGTTTTAATTTTGAAAGACCACCAACTGGGACTCTGTCACTACCAGTTGTAAACTGTAACAATTTTCTTTTCTGTTCCAAACTAAAATTGTTCTACATTTTTCAGAACGACAACTAGCAGCTTGTTAGGAGATAGATGGAAACTGTAAAGCGAGTTTGTGAGAAGACAGTCGACATTAACATTTTAATAATGTTTGATATTAAGGCGCACACTTACAAATGAGAAAGNTACTATCCGATCGGTATATACCGGCTTGAGCGTAGATTTCGACGTCTCCCACACTCCGAAAAGTTCCGAATTGTTGCCCGAAGACAAGGAAAGTCCAATCGGTATTCATTACTTTACGTTGCTTCTTCTTGTGTTTGTTCTGTGGGGTGTTCGTTATCCGATCATGTGTTCGTTGTCCGAACATAAAAATCTTTCGCAAAACTTTTGAGTATTTTAAAAAAAAAAAATGTGTCAACAAATTTATTTTCAAAATTTCTAATCAATGACTAAACAGCACAAATTGTACATAATCTATATACATGTGTCTGAATCAAGACACAATTCCTCTGAGTATACCAATAAACTTAGAAGTTTAAGATATCTTCTGGCAATATATTTATGAATTATTTCTACTTTTGTTATATACAAAGAAACATTATAACGAAAGTTTCTTTATCATCATGTTACACATTTGATGATAGCAATAATTACAAAGTTTTTCAAATATTAATTTCATTTACATAAAAGTTTTACTTAGGTTATGTTAAAAATATAACATCTGTACTTGGAAAAAATGATTCACACAAATTTTGTTAGTGACACAATCGTTGATACCTAATTGACAAAATACTTTTGAGGAAAATATAGGTTTAAATTATATTGTCATTTTAATGTGCAGAAAATGTAGGGATGAAGATTATTAAAAATTTGAAATTTCTACAGGAAAAAAATTTTTTTACACAAACAATTATTTAATTTATGTTAAAAAAATTTCACAGTTCCTATATATGAAGCAATTTCCTATACAAATAATTGTGTTATCAGAGCATGCCAAATCCTTTTGAATAATTAATTGCTTTCAGAAGACGTTCTTGTAGTTTTTCTTTACTGGAGTATTCTGGAAGTAACAGTACATTAAAACACGTATGAGCAGTAGGTAACCTGTAAAATTTGAAAATTACTATATTAAAAATAAATTGTCATCTAAATTCTTTACAATAAATTATTCTGATTATTATTATTTGATAAAATATTTTCAATTTTTTTAGTTTAATCAAAACAAAAATTTTCCTATATCTTATAAATCTATATAATTAAGATATTACATCAATACTTAGAAAGTAAAGTAATATAATGTATGCTATGTTAAAATGTCCTAATAGTAATTACATATCTGGAAAATTTTCGATTTTTGAACTATCAAGATAACTTATTTAAAATTTCAGTTTTATATCTGATTTCTTAATTTGTCTTTTTAAACTCTGGATGGCCATTTTTTATGTTGATTGACACTACAGTAAAAAATAAGCATCAAATCATAAATCTCCTGCCAAGGTCATCCCAGAGTAATGTATAGTGCAGACATGGGCAAATGCAGCTCTCTTTGAGATACATGTGGCTCTTGCTGAAAGTGTTAATTTCTGTTTTTTATTATTATTTTTACAATTTTATTTCTACAATTTTGTGAAAATATGTTTATTAAAATAATTCAATATTTGTTTTATATTTATATTATATAATAAAATTGCGGTACAGAATAAAAAAGTACAGAACTGCGGCTCCCATGCATTTTGCAAAACCTACATTTTGGCTCCCACTGAACTCTTGCTTGCCCACCCCTGCAATATACCATTGATAACACAAAGTTAAAAAACATTAATAGAAGAAAAAATGTCATTTGTATGACATTTATTCTTTCATTAATTGATACCGTTTCCAACTGTAGACATTTTAGCATTGCTAAATATTGCCTGATTTTTCTGAGTTATTTTGAAGGAATATTTAGCAGTTGTTGGACTAATCTGGCTCATATGTACATCTGAAATATTTTAAAATTACAAGACAATAAGTTTCATCAAGATCAAAAATCCATAGCATAGTTTCTCCAACCTCTTATCCGGATATACTGTCTTTTCTTTTGCTTTGTTCGCTAACATAGGAATGCTTGCAAATTGATGAATTTAGGAATTAGCTCATAGAAGGTCATAGAGGTTCTTCAAGAAATTGTGAGGCAACTGAACAGTGAGCATTTTATTCATTTTTGTTCAAAAAACCAACAGATTGAACAATTAGGTGGTATTAATTTGGACAGATATTATTGATATTAAAGAAATAAAAGGTCTAATGAAACAATAGCTTGAAAGGTCATGAATATATGATCACATATCTATTTGTTGCATAAAATTAATTTGAAATATAATTAATTTATTTTATCTTTACAACTATTTAGCACATGGATGGGACTGTATTGCAGATTGTTCTGTAACTAAATTTCAGTCATCCAATTATTTGGAATTTGTTTACAGTATTCCAAATAATGTAAACAAATTACATTAATAAATGTAATTTAAATAAATAAACTCATTTTTATTAAATAAACTCCTTTAAATTTATCCTTTAAATAAACTCATTTTAATACATTTAGTAATTATAAAATCATAATTTTTTATATACTTTAAATGATTCCACAAATTCTACTCAATTTAATCCCAAAGAATCAATTTAAAAATGGAAATGGTTTTAATTAAATTATATATTCAAAAATTTTCTAAATAAATTTTATTATCTCTAATATCAAAAAAAATAAGGCACATTTCAGTAAATTTGAATAAAACTGGCAATTTTCAAATATAAATTTCAGAGATAAAAATCACAACATTTTTTAGGCTATAAAATATTAATTATATAAATTTATTGTAGTGTTTTATACATTATTTTATAAAACATTTTCATACAAACATTTTAGCATGTGTTAAATCATGCATAGAATTTGTTTAAAGTTTATGGGTAACTGTTGATTACTTGCAAAAGACGAATTAATTTATAAAATCAAACCATGCATGGTACCCACAATCATTGATTATAATTGTTATTTTTGACAGTTGATAGATATGAAATTAAAATTATTTTCATAAAAAATGAGTGAATCAAAGACCATAATCTTGTAGAAAAAACAGAGTAATTAACACATTGCAAATCCACCTTTAACCCTATAATATTCTAAACTTAATAATTAGAAAACTGATGCTGTTTCACTCAAATTAAGATTGTCCTTCTCTCCATGCAGCTGCTCTTTCTTTGGTCACAAATTTCTTCACAAGGAAACTATTTAAAAAAATACATTTAATGGTTTATGCATATATAAATACTATTGGTATCTTTTAAGAATGTCTTACCTTCTAAAAAATGTGGGAGTATATTGTGCTAGATAAAAGACAAACAGGATTGGCTGCAAAGATATCCAGGCCTCATCGACTCTGTTGGCAATTGCCACAGNTTTCCATTTGAAAGGGTTAAATAATCTGTCTAATGTCGATTGCTTTTCTCTCTTCAGGATTTTTCGTAAGTAGTTATTAATAGCATTGCAATTGTAGAAATCCCCAAGCCTCAACCTGGTTTGGATGCCAATCTATGATCGTTATTTTCACATCCTCCTACTACTACAAAAGATCTTTAATAACAGATATCGGCATTAATCCTCTTTTTCAGAAGAAAACATATCTCGTCGAGTTTCTTGGTGTTATTCATTCAAGAGTTCTTGGCGTTCTTCTGTCGTCAGATCCGTTTCGGATTCCATTATGAACTCTTCGATGTTCTTTATATCTCAGATGTGATTTTTGTTACTTCTTTAGCTGCTTGAGTCTTCTTGATAATACAGTATCTTTCTTAGATAAGATTTAACTACGGCCTACTGTAGACCTGTTCAAGCCATACTGCCCAGAAACATTAGGCATCTTCTGCCCACTCTCTACTTTGCTATTATACTCTGACCTTTCGAAAAGAAAAACAGACGCAAAACTTAACGAGTGCCTACCCGACAGTCTCGCGAATACATAAAAGAATTATTTTGTCAGAAAAATAAAATGCTGGAACTATAAGGGAGAGTTTTAAAGTTCGGAGGAATACTATCCGATCGGTATATACCGGCTTGAGCGTAGATTTCGACGTCTCCCACACTCCGAAAAATTCCGAATTGTTGCCCGAAGACAAGGAAAGTCCAATCGGTATTCATTACTTTACGTTGCTTCTTCTTGTGTTTGTTCTGTGGGGTGTTCGTTATCCGATCATGTGTTCGTTGTCCGAACATAAAAATCTTTCGCAAAACTTTTGAGTATTTTAAAAAAAAAAATGTGTCAACAAATTTATTTTCAAAATTTCTAATCAATGACTAAACAGCACAAATTGTACATAATCTATATACATGTGTCTGAATCAAGACACAATTCCTCTGAGTATACCAATAAACTTAAAAGTTTAAGATATCTTCTGGCAATATATTTATGAATTATTTCTACTTTTGTTATATACAAAGAAACATTATAACGAAAGTTTCTTTATCATCATGTTACACATTTGATGATAGCAATAATTATAAAGTTTTTCAAATATTAATTTCATTTACATAAAAGTTTTACTTAGGTTATGTTAAAAATATAACATCTGTACTTGGAAAAAATGATTCACACAAATTTTGTTAGTGACACAATCGTTGATACCTAATTGACAAAATACTTTTGAGGAAAATATAGGTTTAAATTATATTGTCATTTTAATGTGCAGAAAATGTAGGGATGAAGATTATTAAAAATTTGAAATTTCTACAGGAAAAAAATTTTTTACACAAACAATTATTTAATTTATGTTAAAAAAATTTCACAGTTCCTATATATGAAGCAATTTCCTACACAAATAATTGTGTTATCAGAGCATGCCAAATCCTTTTGAATAATTAATTGCTTTCAGAAGACGTTCTTGTAGTTTTTCTTTACTGGAGTATTCTGGAAGTAACAGTACATTAAAACACGTATGAGCAGTAGGTAACCTGTAAAATTTGAAAATTACTATATTAAAAATAAATTGTCATCTAAATTCTTTACAATAAATTATTCTGATTATTATTATTTGATAAAATATTTTCAATTTTTTTAGTTTAATCAAAACAAAAATTTTCCTATATCTTATAAATCTATATAATTAAGATATTACATCAATACTTAGAAAGTAAAGTAATATAATGTATGCTATGTTAAAATGTCCTAATAGTAATTACATATCTGGAAAATTTTCGATTTTTGAACTATCAAGATAACTTATTTAAAATTTCAGTTTTATATCTGATTTCTTAATTTGTCTTTTTAAACTCTGGATGGCCATTTTTTATGTTGATTGACACTACAGTAAAAAATAAGCATCAAATCATAAATCTCCTGCCAAGGTCATCCCAGAGTAATGTATAGTGCAGACATGGGCAAATGCAGCTCTCTTTGAGATACATGTGGCTCTTGCTGAAAGTGTTAATTTCTGTTTTTTATTATTATTTTTACAATTTTATTTCTACAATTTTGTGAAAATATGTTTATTAAAATAATTCAATATTTGTTTTTATATTATATAATAAAATTGTGGTAAAGAACTGCAATAGAGAATAAAAAAGTATGGAACTGTGGCTCCCATGCATTTTGCAAAACCTACATTTCGGCTCCCACTGAACATTTGCTTGCCCACCCCTGGTATAGTGTATTTGCACTTGTCGCTGCCTTTGATGTTGTGCTGGCAACCAGTAGTACTTCATTTAAGCATATAAGTAGTACTTCATTTAAGCTGGTCCACCCTGTTTAAATGAAGTAATTAGAATTAACACTCCAAAGTACACTTACAAAACAAGCCTTTTTCACTATTTTCCTGGTGCAATATTTTATGTAATTATATTAAAGGTTAAATATGTTTAAAATTAATATTGATGTTTTTGAACAGTTAATGTTTTACTTAGATTTACATAAAAGTTATTAAACTTTTTTCCTTAATGCTTTTATCAAAAAGGTTAAACTATTACATGTATACAGTAATATGCATATCATGCTTACATTTTATGAAAGTTTTTTTTAAATACTTACAATTCCATGTTCTAAATATTTTTAGACAATGTAAAGAAACAATTCAATTCAACATATAAAATACTTTTATTTATTATTATTAAAACTATCAGAAATTTTGTAATTTATTTAAATTCTATTGTTATAAATATATACATACATTTTATTTATACAAAAATTTCATTATAAGCAATTTATAACAATTCTGAAAAGTATTGACCTTTTAGCAGAGAGGTAACAAAAGAAGCACGACCTTGTCAATTGGACCCACGTGCGGTTGGGTAATATACCACTTGTAAGGTGTTGACTTGTAAACAGAGGGAAAAACAAAGGGAGTGCTGACTTTGTCAATTGGACCCACCTGTGGTCAGACGATAGACCATTTGCCATATGGTAAACAACTGAATGTAAACAAGCGGCAGACGTTACTGTAAGCTTGACTCTCATCGGATAACAACGGACCTGGGTTAAAGCTGTTCGGGCAAGAAAGGTTTATGATTGGTCGGAAGTTTCCATCCAAAAAACCCTTAAATTGCGGAACGAACAGGAGAGGAAGGAGAGAAGGACAAGAGACTGGTACATGGTAGTCTCAGGCACTTGGGAAGCCCACTGAGCATAGAGAGAGTGTTCTCCTCTGGTAAATATCTCAGGGATAGGTTAGTGCGGAGACTGGATTGACCGTGCAGTTGAACCAACTCCACAAGCTGACTAAGGCCTCTCCAAGGTTTAACAGTTCCTGGAAACCAATCTAGTATATGAGTCACCACACTTAGTTATCCTGTATATATCGATATATTATGTTTTCGAACTTGTACTTTCTGCATATAGAACCTGTAAATAAACTGTAAATACTATCAATTTGAGTGCGGAGGTGTGCTTTCCATCAAACCTGGATCAATACATCAAATCCTGATACACACGGAAACCAACTCAACGAAACGGAGTTTGGGAAAGAACTTCACTATGATCTTCACTAATTCATTTATATTATTTACTTTAAAAAACTTTATGTTTATTTTCTTTCTTTGCTCTCATGTTATTAAACAACTTCAAGCAACAGTAAATCCTGAGTCTAGTGGAATGTTTTAAAAGAAAATCTTTAGGCATCACTGGCATCACATGTTTCATGTATCTATATGTTATGGAACTTACTTTTTCTTTATGAGCATGTCCAAAATTTGCCATATTTTTTGACAGATAAATGCAATCATGTTTCAGTACATCTTTTCTTTTCAGGTTTATAACCCATTTTACATATACTATTTTAAAAGTATTTGTTCACGTTATCAATTTAAAACTTTTATAAAATTCTTTTATTTTTTACAATTCAAAATTTAAAAATCAGAACAGCCTGTTTTACCTTACTAAAGTATAAACTAATTTTTATGTAAAAATAATGCAGAATTGTAGACATTTTCATTATCAAAAATATATCACAAATAATAAAGTAATAAAATAGTATAAAATACAAAGATTTATTTGATTCTGAATATAAATATAATTATAAATTTCATTTCTAGTAATAAAATCGATACTTTGTTTCCTATTTGTAAATCGAAAATTCAGTTTTATTTTAAAATATCATTTTATATAGCTATGTCTTTTTGACATAGTTTAATTAATATTCTAAGTTATTGATTTATTATTAACTTAATATAGCAATAATAAAATAATTAAAATTATTTATCTACATCACGAGGACAATTGAAATACTTTTATCTTAATTTTTTTACTTTACAATTATGACAAATAATTACAAGACAAAAAATAATAAATACCGTATTTACTTTCATATAACACAAGGGTCTTATTCATATTTCATTGTTTCAAAAACCTAGGTCGTCCTATACACGTGAGTGAAGGATTCTTTGCATTTTTGCAATAATTTTGTCAATGCCCTCTTCGCACTTTTACTGGAAGTTCACTCTCCGGTGTTTAAAAACAAAATTATTTTATCTGGGTCATTTGAATCATTCTTGTATATTATCAGGAGTAAAGATGAATAGCAATAGGAAAAGCAAAGCTTTTGAATTAAATTCCAAATTAGAATTTCAAAATTTACTTACTAGTGCAGTGGCCAAGCAGTTCTGTTCTCTGAACACTGGGAATCTGGTTGTGGGTTCATGCCTCGCCAGGATGGGCTGACCAAGTGGAGTTTTCCAGGTTTTCTCTACATCTGTAATGCCTGAATAAGTGCCAGTTACTCTTAAAAAGACCTTCTGGAAGGCATCCCTGAGGCAGATCGCCCAAGTGTTGCACTGCCATAACTTAACAAAACAAACAAACAAATGAAATTCCAAAAACACTCAGGAGTCCAAAATAAGTTTTAATCCATTCCCACGTGAAAACTGATGATTATTCAGAAATCAAAATTTGGAGAAACTCGTATAATCGATAGAGAGTGGATTAGATGGTTAAGAATTGGCAAAAAAAAAGTTCCCAACTGTCCTTTACATTAACAAATTATGTTGTCGATTTTACAAGATTTTTTCTTAAAATTTAAAATGCTAGTAATTTTTGCAGACAATGTCTGCATTTACGTGCATTTGATATTATTTTATTTGTGATTAAACAGAATAAAATCAGAATTGTATTAATATATCTAATTTTCTTTATTTTGATCTTTAAAGTCACATCTCGTACTATATGCAAGATTGTCTTATATGTGAGTAAATACGGTACATATCAGAGAAGAAAACTGATTGATTTCAGACAATTAACTGTACAATAAACTCGAAATACCCCGTTTTAGTATCTTACAAAATGGTGAATACAGTCATGCACATTGATAACTTATCAGATAGAAAAAGCCTGGAGTGCAAGTACTCTATTTTACTCCAGTCACTTCCTGCAACATATCATATGAGACAGTGTGTAAACAATAGCTCATAAAATTACTTCCCCTGCAGCTGGAGTTTGTTTTGTTTGAAAGTAGATAGATATATATATATATAAGGTTTAAGTAGCAAATAAAGCAGATATTTTAAAAAATTAGTTATTTTTTTCATGTTCTTTGAAAATTTGAAATTTAAATATTGCTTTAAATCCAGGTTATATTATAACTTAAACAATCGTAAACTGTCATATGTTTTTGATAAAAAACAAAAAAAAATCAATTCTAGTGCAATTCTGAAGCAAGATATCACAATTTTAAAAATCTCCCTGCAGTTTTGTTAATGTTAAATATTACTTTCATTTTGCATATCAATTTAATAGTGAAATTTATTTTATTGATATTTAAATTAAAATAGTTATCAATGATTAATATAAGAACAATAATAGTAAATATGACTTTATGTAAATGAAATCTTTCTTTTAAAAATAATTACCTGTCAGAATCAGGACCATGTCGGGCTATTACCAGTTTTAATTTTGAAAGACCACCAACTGGGACTCTGTCACTACCAGTTGTAAACTGTAACAATTTTCTTTTCTGTTCCAAACTAAAATCATGGACAATTCCCCAGAATGATCTACGAAGAAAGAAAAATATTAAAACTTCTTTTTAAATTAAATTTTAAAAAAATCAATTTATACAAGAATATTTGAAATTCAATTTCTAAATTACTAAGTGATTACTTTTAGTAAAAAAAAATTTTTTTTACATTACTGAAAATTAAATGAAAAAATTCAAACAAACTTAAAAATTAGTTATACAGATCTACATAAATTTTTGATATACAGTAATACCTCGACTTATGCTACCCGACTTACGCGATTTTCAAATCTCGTCGATTCGTCTTTTGTTTGAGCACCACACAACCCTTGATTACTCACCCCCCACATTGTTGTTCAGCTTACATGTTCGGATGTGTCACGTGGAATCGACGCATAGCTACAATTTATTTTGTGTTATTTATTNAAACCCGAGTTACGCGATTTTCAAATCTCGTCGATTCGTCTTTTGTTTGAGCACCACACAACCCTTGATTACTCACCCCCCACATTGTTGTTCAGCTTACATGTTCGGATGTGTCACGTGGAATCGACGCATAGCTACAATTTATTTTGTGTTATTTATTTCTGTGTTTGTTATATCTACAGAGACTTCAGAGACTATGTGGTGATTTCTTGTAAGTGTGAACGAATCAAAAGACGAGATAAGATTAACGAGAACATTTATTAGCTTATATACATCCGATTTGGATTTTACACAAATTGCGGAATTATACCCCGACTTACCTGAATTCGACTTACGCGGTTATCGCTCGGTCCCACCTATCGCGTAAGTTCGGGGTATTACTGTATATACATGATAAATTTTACAATTTCAAATTTTAATTCTGCAAAAANTTGTAAGTGTGAACGAATCAAAAGACGAGATAAGATTAACGAGAACATTTATTAGCTTATATACATCCGATTTGGATTTTACACAAATTGCGGAATTATACCCCGACTTACCTGAATTCGACTTACGCGGTTATCGCTCGGTCCCACCTATCGCGTAAGTTCGGGGTATTACTGTAGTATATGTATATATATATATATATATATATATCAGAAAAATTTTCCCAAAATATTTTTTGGGATATAAAATAAAAATAAAAATTATTATAATTATTACTCTAATTTTATACTTTCATACAACTGATATAATTTTAAACCAGGGCTGTGGAGTCGTGTAAAAATCTACTGACTCCAACTCCGACTTTTCCTTACCATCCGACTCCGACTAGGGGCGGACATGTTACTGAAAGAGACCCGGAAATTCTGATGTCATCACATGACCTCAGAATAAAAGATTCAATAAATAGAGTTCTAATAAAGATAGAACATAGAAACTTTTTATTCCAAAGCAAAAAGACTCCTCTAAGTAATGACATGATCAATATATAAATATGTATTGGATAATTTTTACTTTTCCGGCTGTTATATATAACAGAGGAAAAGTGTAGCGCTCAGTTGAAAAATGTCCCCTCCCAAATTTTTACATTTTTGGACTCAGAACACCTTGAAATTTTGAGTTAATTAAGCAAAAGATTCGAGGTTTTTTCTATACGTGTGGATGTTAGACTGTTTGTGTGGTGCATGGATTTTGTTCACCCTGTTTGAAGCCTAATAATTTCTGTGGACAGAGTGGTGAGAATCAGAGTCAGATGCTTTAACACAGGAGTTAGTCATTAAGCGTCAAAATGGTTGAACTAAATCATGTCCTCATATACATTCTAACATCTTAGGCGAGAACATCTTAACGGGTTTTACTGTACTATCATAAAATTACAAAAAAGCTTATTTTGAGGGTAGAGACAAGTTTTATTATTATTTTTTAATAGTATTAATGCCCCTTTATATGCAAGCTATAGTGCCACATTTCGTTTCTTAAACTTTATCCATTCTGAGACATTGTTTAATATCTCAGAACAGAAAATAAAGAAATTAAACAAATTAGACACTAACACAACCGCGTGCGAATTTTTCCCCTTTTATTGACGTTTTTGAGAGGTTCGAGAGGTCTCCAAACATGTAGATTTTTCCAAAAAAAAACTTGGAGGGTCAAATTTGATATGATTCCAATACTTTTCCATTTTATATACATAACAAGTTGGGAAGTAAAAAAGGAGTTGGAGTCGGCAGATTTTGTGACGACTCCAACTCCGACTCCAGCTAAAACACCAAAACTCCACGACTCCGACTCCACAGTCCTGTTTTAAACAATATATATTATATTTGCAAATACTACTTAAATCAAATAAAATACAAACTATATATCATATTTACTGTAATGATGTAACATGTTAATTTGCAAAAATTATTTTTTTTTATCTTGAAGTGTTTTTATAAAGTAAAATGTTTATATGTTTTGCATTTATATGTTATTTTACATTGGTCCCAAAAATCTCTTATTCCTTTCAATAGTTGGAATATTTCATTTAAATGTCTGAACTGATTACAAAGTTTCATTTACACATTACTTCCTTTCTAATAAAAATAACAGACATTGCAATATTCTTTCAGAAAAGATATGCAAATTTCTATTATGCATTCTTTGTGATATTTTTGCACTCCTGTCTGAATTAATTCCTAAGTTAAATGACAAAATTGACTCCACTATGTATATTCTCTCTTGGAGAAGAATGATTAGCATCAAATAATTGTCTACTGGGTGTGAAGTGATCAAAATATAGATGAACTCTACATATTTTTAGAATCTTGTAACAACAAAAGAATTCATAAAGAAAAATAAAAAAATATCCTTTTAACAAAATAAATTTATTTTACGAACTATTTCAATGATTCTAACATAGCACTCCTAATGGTTCTTTTACACATTCTAAGAATAAAAATAAAATGTTTGAAAGCAGTATATTATCTATTATCAGTGCTATTTTAGTCTTGAATAGGAAAAAAATCATCATAAAATTTATTACTCTTACTCAGATACATGAATTATGATACTCAACATTAATCTACTGAGACTTCAAAAATAAAAGACAAAAATTAAGACATTAATTAGATGATGATGATAAAAAAAAATGAATATAAACAATAATAACTAACCTAATAATAGTTGTATCAGAAGTATAACCACCATCATATTCAGTTGTTTCTTCCAAGGCATTAAAGTCAAAATTCTAAAAATAAATATAAAAAGTATTATTATTATTATTATTTAAAATTCTTTTTCATTTTAATATTTTATTCAATAAACATTAAAAATTTAATTAATATTTGTAGTGCAAAAAACATTTAAAATTTTTAAAGTTTAAAATTTGCCATTAGAAAAGAAATGCAGTACTTTTTATGACAGTTCCCTCAATCTATCAGATTGAGCCATATCAATTTCAAGTTTGTAATTATTATAAAAACTTGCCGAAACAGATAATTTATGTATTCATAAAAGAACAATAACCTGTTTTAAGTGGTTTTCTTGGATTTATTTTGAATTGTTTTGATTAAATTTTGCCATCTTTCTAAATTAAATAAAATGTTTTGCCTTGAGGAAAAAACCCACACAACAAATTCCNCTTACGTCGTTTCGACTTACGTCGTTCCCGATTATACGTCGTTTGTCAAAAAAGTATATGGAAAAATAAATATCAAGTTTAAGTCATTTTATTCGACTTTACGTCTGTCCGCCATGTGTGTGTGTGTTTATTCACATGCATAAAGATGAATATAGTATAAACAACTCCATTTAAGGAACATGATTTTAGTGAATCAACTGATTACCAATAGTTAGATGATCTAAACCAGTGTTCTTCAATCTTTTCACACTTGCAAACTGGCAATAATAAGAATATTATTTCACAGACCAGCAAAAGACTAAAAGATAACTTTTCTTAGACTTAAACACAAATGATGCATGCAACTGTCATAATTTTATTTAAACAATTGCAAATAATAATAAATTCAGCAATAAGTTGCTTAACTTTCCTTGCAACATTTAAAACTGTGTATGTGTATCACCATCTATCATGATATTTTATTATTACAGTGGAACCTTTATATTTGTCATTAATCTGTTCCTAAGGATCTAATATGGAAAATGACGAATATAGAAACAATTTTTCTCATATTAAATAACTGATATTCAATTAATCCTTTCCCATCCTAAAAAAAATACAAGAATAAAATTTTTGTTTCTAAAACTTTACTGTATCTATTTAGTACAATAAAGATATAATGGTAGAAGAGGAAGAAGAGTAAAGTTATTATTGTTTAAAAGAAGACATACCATCAATTAAAATATTAGATAATTCCAATTATGATCTCAGTATATTAAATTCTTTGGCTAAGTTGGAAACACTAGAGGGGTTGTGGCCGAAGTTTTCATCTCTAAAATGTGAAACTCGAACATTGAGCATCACCATCTTGTAAGCCTAGAAGTTTGGAACATTATTGGAATCATGCTTGATGTTCCAAACATCATTATCAAACTTCTAAGCTTACAAGATGGTGGCGCTCAACATTCAACATTCACATTTTAGAGATGAAAACTTCAGCTGCAACCTCTATACTTTATCCATTTGCAGACTTAGAACAACAATAGAAATAAAAAATTATTACTAACAGCATTCCTGTTTTGCTGTTTTTCTTCAGTGTGCTTTATTGGAAACATTGGAACTTGAGTTTTTGAAGATAATCAATGTGAGAAACCAAGAACACACATGATGACCATACAAAGCAGACTGATTAACTACAGCTAGCTGACAGTGTTGCCAACTCAAAATTCAAATTTATGGATAGCTAGACATTTTTTGGTTTATTTTTTTAATTTATGTAACAAAACAAACAATATTAATTACTTTTATAATTACAGTAAAATCTCACTTATTTGACTATCTTTGGGATGTACAATTTCTAGCCACATAAGTGAGGTCATCACTTAGGGAATTATGAATAAATTGGCATAGAAAACTATAATTAGAACACCATGCTGATTACTATTTAAACTTTAACAGAAGTTATAAAAAAAAAAAGAAGTTCACATAATACCATACATCCTTTGCATATACAGTGAATGCAAGCTGTCTGCATTAGGATTAATTCAATTACTATAGAGTACTAAACAATTCCATTTAGTATTTGTAAAAGGAATCAATATGTCTATGAAATGGTAGTAAAAATTTTATTTAAATATTGTACTTTAACAGAAAAATTCAGAATTGCCAATCATTCTGCATAATAATGTTCACTGACATGTATCTGCCAAAGTTAAGGATAACTTATTCTTTGCAGTGGGCTGGAAAGTACCAGAACCACCTTCTTTCCTGATATGAGCCATTACAACTAATTTGTTTGCAAAGATCAAAGAACTCTTAAATGGAAAACACTACATGACAGAGATAAGATCATTCATGCCTTCAAAAAGCCAGAGCAAAATAATGAAGGAGAACTACATAGAAGGAATTCATGCATAACTGATTTGTATAATAAAATTTTATTTACTAAAAAATTCTGATGTCATGACTTAATTCAAATTCAGTCTTCATAATAAAAGAAAATGTCTAACATGTGCTAAGAATGTGTAAAAATGATAAATATCTGAAAAATGTTTAGCATAATCTATCATCCAGTAATTCATTTTCATTCTGCAAAAGAACTGATGACAAAAGTTAGTAATGGTATAAAAAAAATTTTTCTGAGATATACACAGTAGGAAATAACTATTATACAAATAGTTGTTACTGCTAATCTAAAATTCTGTTTCTACTGAATCTATTTATATAACAATAATGAATTTCTAGATTGGGACTGAGCCAACAGAGTTAGTATTTACAAGTTGTATTGACACCATCTCTAACTAGGATAACATTATAATACGGCTCTATAGAAAAAATTTAAATCTTATCTGATAAAATCCTATTTACAAAGTTTTAATTCTTTACAGGTATACCTCGAGTTACGTCATTCTTGATTATATGTCATTTGTCAAAAAATTACATGGAAAAATAAAAATCAAGTTTAAGTCATTTTATTCGACTTTACGTCTGTCCGCCACAAATATTGAAATCGTAATATCACTAGAAAAGTGTTAAAAGCACATAAAATCATATTAAAATACATACATTTACAGTAAATGTTAATATAATCATCATAAATCCTAGAGAACAAAATATGAAAACATCTGTGACTCTGTGTTATTGTCTTATTTAGTGGTCTTTAAGAACTGAATATTGGCATTTTCCATGGTAGTTCCAATATCTACTGTTTGGCATCATTGTCAGCGCCACTCGATATTGGTAAATTTAACATAAATTAGCTTATTTTCTACTATTGCAAGATAATTTTAATAACTGTATTTGTTATTTAACCTTACAAAATCATCTTATTTTATAATGTCTTAGAGCAAACCACATTCACAAATAAAGAGTCTACAATGTCTATAAACATCGCCAAATTGTAAACATGTATATTTACAAGTATGTATGTTAGTACCGTACATGTATTTGTAAATTTAGATTACTTTTTTCCTGTACTATATTAAAAAACTAAAATTTATTTGTTTGTAAGCTTAAAATAGATTCTTATTAACCATATATTATTAAAAATGCATTTATAAATAAAATACAGAACTGGGAATGGTTATTTGTGGCTTAGCCTAATAACAAGTAAATTCAACTTAAGTTGTCTCTCCTGGAACCAATTACCGACGTAAGGCGAGGTATAGATGTATATGCTCAATATTAACAATAACTCTTACATTTTGTAGAAAAGCTATGACTATATCACTGATTCATGACAAAATCCAGATAGCAATTAAAAAACATTTATTTTTTCCAAATTTTTCCTACTAAACTTCAGTTTCAATTTTTATGAATAACTGAAACTGAAACAGAGCTCTAAAAAGAACTGAAAAAGAAATCTGTTTCTATTTAAATACTTTTTTGACACTAATGGTGAAATTTCATGTTGGCTTGAATTAAAACAAAATATTTACTCATTCACCAAGTGGAAAATTTAAACTGCATTAAAAAATTCTGAATTGTCTTGATTAAATAGGTAAATACTAAAAAAAATATTAACATTCAGCTGTATTTTAAAATATAAAAATAAATAAATAAATAAATAGTAAAACTACAGAAAACACCATACTCAAAGATACAACACTCACAAATGACACACGCAGAAAATGTCACATCATGCCAGAAACTAAACAACACATCACTTCTGGTTGCAAGCTCTTGGCACAGACAGATTGTTTACATAGACATAATCAAGTAGCAAATATAATACACTAAGAGCTTGCAAGCAAGCACAAATTATTACAATCCACAAACCACAAATCTACAAATTATTACACATCCACAATTATTACAAATACATTCCACTGACAGTATTGGAAAACAACACGCAAAAAATGTACTACGACAGAGCCATAATCACTGATTAAACAATTTACCACAACAGACCAGACATCATACTCATTGACAAACACAATAAAATCACATACATTATAGACATATCCATTCCAAACACTCACAATATACAAAACACATGAACTGAAAAAATCAGCAAGTACACAGAACTCGCCCAAAAAATAAGGCATCTATGGAGGATGGAAAGGGTGTTTATTGTACCTGTTGTTCTCTCCTATACAGGTGTCATAACACACACTCTATGCAAAAGCCTGGAAACATTAAAATTGAATAGAAACACATAAATCACACTATAGAAGGCCACTATATTGAGTACATGTCATATTGTTAGGAAATTCCTGAATACAGGCACCTACATTGACACACTTATTAAATTTTTGTCTTGTTTTGATTGCTATGCCTTGACTCTGGTCTGGCATAGTACACAGCAACTGGTATCAACAGAGTATAACCCAACATAACAATAATAATAAATTAGTCAATCAAAAACTCTAAAAATGTTTGTCTTTTTGCAAAAAATTGGTGCATTTCTTAAACAGTTTTTCAAAAAAAAAAAAAAAAAAAAAGAAAGGGAAATTTTTGATAGATGAAAGATGAAAATGATCGTTAAATTCTTAAATGTCAAAAAATGTTAAGTAACATCTGAATTATGAGTGCAGGTGTTATTGTTTTATAAACAGTCACCGAGCATAGTCGACGAACAGGTATCAGATGGACACCTCGAATCAGACCTTTTCCGCAACCCGAAAAGGCTTTGTCTTGCACCTGGAGACAAAGAAGAGACCAATCGGGAAGCAAGGAATGGGAGGAGGGACCAATCCGAAATGCGAATAGTGGGGGGGGAACTATAAAAAAATCTGAATTTCAAGGTCGAAGAAGAGTCTAATCTGGATTAAGCTACAGTTATGATATATCTATTGTGTTGTGCTACCGCTGATCACCTACGATGCCGCAGCTTAACACCAAACATCTGCATCGTCCAGCGATCCTTCTTGTCCGCCCGGGCTATGACCAATCACCCGAACTCTCACCATTTCATAGGAACACAGAGATTTTGGAATTGTCCAATATTGATGTAAGCATAAATTCGAACAAATAAACGGGTTTTCTCTTGTAAAACACTTGTTCTTCAGTTGCCTCCTTCGCCACTGTCCACATACGCGGTTTCCCTTAGGCTCATTCTGATGTGAGATAAACTTTATTCCCCTTAATGTTGGCAAACGTACATTTTCTTTATCCAGAAAGTTACACTATTTTTTTAGGTAATTTTATGATGATTATTTTGTTTTAGTTGTCATTCGAGTATATTGGTGCACATTTTGATTTGTTTTCCATTTTGGATCATTTGAATTTTGTGCAAAAGTGGCTTTTTTTTCTCCTTTAAATGTGTGTTTAAGCCTAAGAAATATTGGGAGACTATCCACTGTTTCGACGTGATAATTTTTCTTCNCACTTCTCCCACCCTTGAAATTAGGTGCAGGTGTTAATAAATTAGTCTAGCAACAAAGGAAATTCATTTCAGTTTGTTGGAAAATGTCTGAAATGCAAAGTGCTGTCGTTAGAAGATCATATTAAAGTTATCACAACAGCAATTAGCGGCGAAGTTTAACTGTGGGAAAACAAAATTTATTTTACCCTAGACCTACAGTATTTTCCTTGGGGGTGTAAAATATTGTACTGTACACGATACAATTAATTGGCTGATCTCATCATTTGATAAAATCTATTTTTATTTATTTATTTTGAAGCTCATACAGTACACGTGCGATAAATAGTTTCTGTATCAACATACCTTATTTCCACGATGTTTTTAGAAAAATAATATCCCAAGTAATTTTCGCAGGCAGAATATTCAAAAAACAATAAACGCATTAATGCAAAAATCAGTTTTACTTTTTTTTTTTCGATTCTGTGATTGTAATGAAATCGTATAATGAGAAAAAATAATAAAATCGTTTTATTATTAATTAATAATTTTTCTTATTGTACTTAATTGATTAAGAAAATATTAAATATTAAAAAATACAGTATTTTTAAAGTTTTAAAATAAGATTAAACTAACGAAAACCAAAAGCATAGTGATGGAGAGATAGGACGTGCTTTTATATTGATGACGTAATACACGTAACTGAGGAGCGAACGAAAAGAACTGAGTCAAATTAATTAAGTTGGAAAAAAGAAAGTGTGCATTATAATCGAGAAAATGCGAGTATTGTATTAATCTTTAAAATACTGGTGTTAAATCTGTCTTATAATATCGTGACGACTCCCGTAAGTCGAGTTATCCGATAAAAATAAAATACAATACCAATATAGCCCTATCGTTGAAAAAATTCACTTATTTTTGCTCATCTCGAGTTTTGCTTAATAGAAATGGCTAAAAAGTGCGCAAAATACGTACGGAAATACAGTATTAGAGCAACACCTGTATTGGACGACCACCTGTCTAAAAGACTACTTTTTGTAGGAACCGTGGATGGTCGCCATAGACAGGTTTTACTGTATTTGTATGATTTAATTTAAATTTTCTAAATATATAGTAATACAGTGGTACCTCCGTATACGTCTGCTTTAGAATACGTCCAATTCGGAATACGTCCTGTTTGGACGAAAGAAATTTTGCTCGGTATATGACTTTTGTTCGGTATACAACTTAATTCAATTATATGCATCATCTATGAACAAGTAGCACTATTGGTGTATTAGACCAGACTAGACGTTCACAGTGCCATGGTTTATAACTTTGTTATTTTTCTTCTGATTTTAATTTGTAAGTAAAATTTTATTATTTTTATTAATCATGAATTGCAAAAAAGGCAAATGAAAAGCAACAGAAAACTAAAAAAAATGACTAGAATCACAATGGAACTGATAAAAGAGATTGTTGAGAAATATGAAGATGGCATGCGTGTTTGAGATTTTAACTGTTGCATACCATATTCTGAGAACGACAATATCAACAATCGTGAAAAATAAATACATTATTAAATCTGCTAACGTTGCGAAAGGGGTTAAATCAATTTCTAAACAGAGATCAAAGACATTAGATCATGTTGAGAAATTGTTTTGCTTTGGATAACTGAAAAACAGTGTGCTGGAGATAGCGTATCAGAAGCAATTATTTGCGAGAAAGCTAAAAAGTTACATGCTGATCTCATGAAAAATCAAGCAGGAACTAGCCAGGAAAGCGAGGTGTTTAAAGCCAGCCATTTTTTTTTACATGAGAATGGATTAATCATTTTTACATTACTTCTTATGGGAAAGGTTGGTTTGGTATATGTCCAATTCAGTATAAGTCCAAACATCAGGAACGGATTAAGGTCGTATACTGAGGTTCCACTGTAATTATTAACTTGTTTCTATATTATTATTTTATTTTATGTACAATAATATTTGGGTAACTTTTGTGTATGTTCTGGGGAAATTTTTGGCCCCGAAAATATTCTGAACATGTGAACATGAGAATTTCATATTGTAGATTTGGATAATTATTAGTGTTGTAACGAATAGTATATTCGGCCAGGAGCGTGGCCGAATAGCCGAATATTCGGCAAAACTATTCGGCTTGATTAACGCACGTACGAAAATTGGCGCGCAAACCGCATTATGGCAAAGACCCTGCTCTCTATTGGCCCACTGTCACTACGCTTCGCCAATCGCGTTAATTCTTGACAGTTCAGACAAGAGCGTCATGGCAGTATGTGATAAGTGATGATATTAAATGTGGATAACAATGAAATGACCTACACGTGTAAATAACGGAAGAACAGAGAAGGACTGCAAAGTGAAAATAAATATGAAATTGAGTTGATAACATAATCGACTTGTTCGATTATGTTATCAACTCAATAAACTGCCTAGAACAAGTCGAGGCAGCTTATTGGCGCAAAATTCGCGGCTGTGAATGCCAAACAATTGTTGTCATAGACTTCGGAAAGCTAAATGCTTGTAATGAAAGTCACTTAGCGTGCACGGGCGAAAGCCTGGAGTCGTTCGGGCTACCAAGCTGTTTCAAATCTGTGAAATCATAACTGTGACTTATACCGATGTCTTATCTGTCTCTTTTCTCTGTTATCACCAGGCACGTAATTGTAAAATGGAAAATCGACGACGGAAAAGTGGTGAATCGAAAGTATTGTGAGGGCGTATTATGGTGTATGCATAGGCATACATGGACTAGAGCAATAGAGGAAAGAGAAAGGGAAGAACAAAGATGAGCGCTTAAAAAGAAGGATAGGCAGGGTCAGACCCTCAGATGTGCGACGATTCTCGAATGAATAGGTGTGTACGTGTGCTGATCTTTGTAATTATAAATTGTGAATACAAGTGACTAATATTATGTTCTTTTTTATTTTGTGCATGTTATAAGTTATAAATAAATATAAACGAACAACACTAACCCGATAACATTAAATCTAAATACCAAAATGATTAATTTACTGTGTTTTTGTTATTTCTTACTCCTGTTTTTAGGTATTCGGCCAAATAGTGATTAAATATTTGGTATTCGGCCGAATAGCGAAAAATAGGCCGAATACCGAATAGTAACCGAATATTCGTTACATCACTAATAATTATGTAAAAATAAAGAATTATAAACTATAAAGAAACAGCAAAAAAACAGAAACATGAAGAAAACTAGACAAATAGCAATAGCATATTGTTACTGCATTATTATAACTTAATTTCCAATTCAGAATATTAACTTGTTACTAGTTTATGTCCACAATTATTTCATGTTATCATATTTAGTCTTTCTTTGCGCACCTCTGTTTATTTCTAAATATTATCAATACAGTCACAAATGTACTACCTTTTGTAACTTTTTTTGCAAAATCCTAGAAATTAGTTATCAAATATTATGACAACATAACTTTCTAACATTTTTGCTAATGCAATTGAATACTGTCATACATACATCTATTTCAAACAAAACAGAGTTATATGATTAAATACTTAAAATAACAAGTAAAATTTTATACCATTACTTTTTAGACTAATTATGTTAATTTTTTCTTACTTGTTTATTATCTTGATTGACTAGGATTTGATTGCCACCTTCTTTGAGATCATGAGAAAGAACAGTATCAAAAACATCCTGATACATAATTCGAAAAGTCTGTAAGAAAACTTCCTCCATGTCATCATCTTCATAAGCAAGTAACTCTTCAAGACCATTTGCTAGAATCTATGAAAATATAAATGTGGTTATTCAAAAGTAAAAATTTAATTAATATTTGTAGTGCAAAAAACATTTAAAATTTTTAAAGTTTAAAATTTGCCATTAGAAAAGAAATGCAGTACTTTTTATGACAGTTCCCTCAATCTATCAGATTGAGCCATATCAATTTCAAGTTTGTAATTATTATAAAAACTTGCCGAAACAGATAATTTATGTATTCATAAAAGAACAATAACCTGTTTTAAGTGGTTTTCTTGGATTTATTTTGAATTGTTTTGATTAAATTTTGCCATCTTTCTAAATTAAATAAAATGTTTTGCCTTGAGGAAAAAAACCCACACAACAAATTCCAAATCCAGATATTCAACAAATATCCAAAAAAATATATCAAAACTAGATATCCAACAAATCCAGATATTCATACATACTTATTCAAAGTTTATAAACATATAGACCAATCAACTCAGATGATAATATTAATTCTTTTAACCATTTTTGTTTGTTATTCCAAGAAGAAAGTTACTTTTAATTATTTTACTAGTCTTCATAACAAAAGCATGTATAAAATAATTTTCAAAAATATAAATAGCAAATTGGAGTACACAGAGTACACTGTTAGTACAGTGATCAAAAAGTATCAGGAATGGTTCAATAAAATGCAAGATTTGAATTTATTCATCAAAATTTATTTCATTTTCTTCAAAGTAATCCCCTCCCACTGCAATGCACTTATGCCAATGTTTTTTTTTTTTTTCCCAATCCTCGAAACATAATTTAAATCCAAATAAAAGTTTAAAACTCCCAAAGGGGTTTCACAAAAACTGTCATTTTCATGAAACCCTTTTGACACTTGCAGAAAATTTTCTTTTGTGGCATCATTTGACTGAAAATGGTGATCACAAAGTGGAAATTTTAGTCAAGGAAACAGAAAACAGTCACATGGTGCCATATCAGGTGAATATAGAACTTGTGAATTCACAAACAACAAGAGCATTGTAATGCATTATTATGGTGCAAAATTCATGAGTTTTCTCACCACAAATCAGATAATTTTCTACAAATTGTCTCATGCAAATGATGCATGAAACAATTTCTCAAATAATATTCATTGTTGACAGTTTGGCCAGTGAGAAGGAATTCGTAATAGACAACACCATGAGAATTGAAGAAAACAGTCAACATGACCTTAATTTTTGACTGACTTTGATATGGTCTTTTTGGTCTTCCATCACCTTTCAAGTGCCATTCACTTGACTGTTTTGGTATCAAGATCCATGTTTCATCAGACATAATGATGTGTTTTAAGAACAATTTGCCTTCAGAAAGAATTTCTTTGGCCACCTGAACATATTTTTGGAAAAAATTCAATGATTTCAGGATGACTCAAGAATCAATGTGCTGCAAATCCAAACAATCTTTTAAAAATGCTTGACAAAATCCAAATGATACTGGAACATGTTTAATAATGTTCCAGATTGTTAAACAATGATCAGTGAACACCAAATCTCTGATCTGAGTGGCAATGTTGTTCATCAGTTAAAAAGGATGGTCTACCAGAGCATAGTTCGTCTTTGATGTATTCTCTGTCTTCCTTGAACATCTTGTACCACTCAAAAACTCTTGTTTTTTATAGACTATTGTCACCAAAAGCTTTATTGCAACATTTCCAACTTTTTTGTAACAGTAATTCTGTTACAAAAACAAAATTTGATACATGTTCTTTGCTCAATTACTCTCTATATTTGGAAAAATCGCAAGCACAAACATTTTTAACATGAAAAACAAGCATTTATTTGCAAATAAAAAACACACAATGCCATACAGAATGCTGCTAGAAGAAAGATGATTGAAGTTGTGCAAAAAAAAAAAGTGCCCTCTTGCACATGCACAGTTTAAATGAACCATTCCCAATACTTTTGATCACAGTAGTAAACTGACGTTCTTTATAAATTTTTTGAAAAATTTAAGTAATATATAGCATGTAGTACAGTGGAACCTCACTTAACAAGCATAATTTGTTCCAGAATCTTACTCATAATGTGAAACACTCATTAAGCGAAACAATTTTCCCATGTAAATTAATGCAAAATATGATAATGCATACCATGCAAAAAAAACCACTCAAATATTTCATATATAACATTTATTCAAAGAAAATTATACAATATATATTGTTAAGGAGTGTGAATCGTCATCATCTTTTCTTCTAGCACAAAAATGAACCAACCTGGAATGTGAATTGAATTTGCAGGAAAAAATATTGAAATAATTACTTTATAAATAATTAATTTTTAATTTAAACATTTCTGGAATTAGTCATTAAATTTAATATGAAATGGCAGCATAACTGCCTAGTTAAATTAATTAATTTCTAATATTTAATTATAGCCTTTACATAGCCCAAGAATTTGGCATATTGTTTGGAGTGTTTATTAGATAACAAGCTATGATTGTTCAGACATATTATGTTTATACATAATATGTCTGAACACAAGTTTGGAAAAATGTGTGATCACAAGCAACACTAAGATGCTAATGGAACAAGTGCTAAATACAGACTGATAAACTTCCCCTCTCATCATTCATTATGCAAAATGTCACTCGTTAAGCGAGTCATTTTTTTTACAATTTGTTTTGCTTGTTATGAGAGGTGCTCGTTAAGCGAGGTTTCACTGTATAATGTCAAAGATTTATGATACAGCAAATAATTTTAGACTTCAGTGAATCAGCAATTTTTTCACAATTCCTTTTTCTAATTAAATAAAATAGAACTGTTAGCTACTTCTTTTAGAACTGTTAGCTACTTCTTTTAGTAATTATCAAATGATTTGGATTTTATTAAAAATCCAAATCATTTGATAATTACTTGTGTCTTAACATTTCAGTAGTCATTTGAAAAAATAATAAACATAAATTAGAAAGAGAATCAATATTTCATTTCATTTTTAAGTAACCATAATTATTAATAAGATTGTGTGTGCAGAACTGCACACCTTCTTAAAGCTTGGAATCAAACTAGATACTATCACCATTGTTTACTGTTTCCACATTAATTTTCACATGATTTGTGTTTTTAATTGCAGTAACTATCAAAAAGTCAGTTTTGGGCATATATAATATTGCAAATAGTACTATGATTCTCTAAGTGTTAACATTTAGCAGCAACTATTCATTTTTTACTGATATCCAAAATGCAACTTGTTTCATGCTGTCAAACTCTGTTTTTAAAAGTTTTTTCACAAGACAGCTTAATAAGATTTTCTTCTGCAGAGGTATATTCAGATGGTGTCTATAGAGATACACTCAGCGTTGAAGGACTTTGGATTCATGCATAATTCTCAACATTTTCTGGAAAGTATTTTTCACACTTTTGATCTATGTTAAATACTTTTTAAAAATAGATTTAAGTTCATGGGTCAAAACAACTTCATTGCATGCTGTAACAGAAAAAGGCAGTCCTTGTCACTATCATCATTCATTTTTCTGCTCTGTAGTATAACTTTTTCTGAAGATCTTTGTGAGTTTAAGAATGTGTGTTTGTTGCTTCCATGGAGAGAGAGAGAGAGAGAGAGAGACTCATTGAATTCAGTATTTTGAAGAGATTTCAGTATTATGAATTTATGTCTATATCTGCAGTATAACTTATTATATTTATCTTCTTACCTATTTTTAGATGAAAAAAATGCATCTTAAAAAAAAAAATACTAACTTAAATTAATATTATTTTCGAAATCAATATTTGAAAAGCATATNAAGTGATGACACTCTACAAACAGGCAGTGAGAGATTTGCACATGTGTTGCTGGTTAGGAAGTTGGAAATGCTACCGGGGGGGGTTAAGCTAATGAAAAAAGGTTGGGAACCACTATTATAGAGCATCAAAAATTAAGTAGTTTTTGTATCACAGAAAAACATAGTATAATGAGTTTCTATTCAGTTAATAATGAATTAAAAAAATCCAAAAGTTTCTCATTTTTGTTTTTATGAGGTGAAATCAGAAATGTTATATATATACAGTACCAAAAACCTGGTGTGTATATTAGAATTTAGAGGCCCAGTATATCATACCAAACTGCATTCATCCTGATACACTTTTGTATCAAAATTTTCAATTTTTAATATGCTAGATTTATGTAAAAACCCTGACTGAAAAAACTAAAAGTTCTAAAGTAAATAGAGAAAACAGAGCATTGCATGATTATTGTTAAACTGTTTTTCATTTTTAAGTTAATTTATACACTTGTATAACAGATTTTTAAAAATTTTATTTATTAAAATTGTATAACATCCGTTACACATTTTTAATTAATAAAATTATATGTAAAAATTGATTGTCTGAAGATTAGTTGATCTCCATTGTAGAACCATCTTTGGAAAAAGTTCAATTTATTGAACTTTAAGAGTAAGCATTAGAAACCTGTCATTAGGTTTCTGAATTATCACTAATGCTTTAAATTACTACATAAAAAAAAATAAAAAATAAAATAAAATGCATTTTATTGATATTAGTTATGTGCATTCTACTATTATACAGAAAAAAATTATTACAACACTTTTATAATATATCATTTGTATAAGTTTTATACATAAAATAAATTATTTTTAACAATATAATGTCACTATTCCCAAAAGAATGAATGCATCTGTAGTGAGAATTGTATATAAATAAATTCAGAAATGAATATTTAAGTGTACAGGATTTAGCCATAATCCTGTACATTTAATTGGAATTAATGCAATTTGATATAATGGAAATTTAAAATAAACACATTAACTTGGTCATTATGAGCACCAGACTGGCAGATCTCGTTATAACTGTTAATTGTTATATCCATAAAGAGCACTGATGTAACTGGGAGAAAATGGACAGCTACCCTGGAGGTACAGTACCTCCCCATGAATGGCAAAATTTGTAGCCCTGCTGCTAATGATTAGTGAAAACTGAAATCTACTATTTATTTTTTTTTTTTTAATCTCAATATGTTAATTGATAGATTCAAAAACAAAAAAAAAAAATTTGTAACTACATTATACTGTATTTTTAATAATACAGTTAAGTAAACTAAATATTGTTAATATTAAACAATTTATTTTTCCATAATTAAAGATAATACTAATTAATAATAATTCATAAATTAAATTTAATCTAAAAATTTTTTTGTGGATCATGAATATAATTTAAGCTTATTTAAATAACACTAATAACTAATAAAGTAAGAAACAAGATATTATTAAAATATGAATCTATTACAAATTTGAATATTTGTTGAAATTTGAAGGGGAAAAAAAGAAAAATTACTACTACAATATGAATATTCATGAAATGATTGCTTGTGATACAGAAAATACACCTCAATTTTTGATTCTCTACAATATATTTGATATATAAGAACTTTAAAATTGAAAAGAGACATTTAGATGATGTTCACTTTTATGATTCTTATGTATGTTATAGAGCAGTGATTCCCAACCCGGGGTACCCTGGGGGTATGCGGTAAGTTGTTTAGGGGTACAGAAAAAAGTTAGTTATTATGCAGAAAAAATAATATATTTTATCACAAATTAATAGTATAAAAAATTATTAGGTAAAAAATGTTCCTTGCAATAATCACAAACTTCATTATACATTTCAAAATGATAAAATAGAAATAAAAACTTATGATGCCGATTGTACAATGCAACAGATCAATAATTGTTGCACAGTTGGTCAATGGTAGTGGGAATACCATTATGCGTGATTAGTGATTATGCTACGGACTTTTGATGGTGGAAAAATAAAAGTGACTGTCATATAATTTTCACTATTTAAATAGCACAGAACTTAATGGTTTTTCAATCTATTCAGATGAATTTATAGGTAAGGACTGATTTTTAATAAATTAAAAGTAATAATAACAATAACAACAAAACAAATACAGTCACTGCAAGAGTTTTTCTACAGGAAACAAAAAACACCACAGTTACATAAAGCAGTAACTCAAATAACTCAAATAACACACCATTAAACTTACACTCACATCATACAGACATGACACAACATATAAAAAGCATTGACACCATCAAGCAATTGTGGGCTAGAAAGGCACTCCATGGTAGGCATCCTTATGACCTGGCCCAGGATTTTGTTGACAAAACTGCATCAAACAGCTGGTTAGATCAGGGATGTCTCTTTGGGGAGACAGAAAGATTCAGGATTGCTATACAGGATCAGGTCATAAATACTAAAAACTACAAAAAATACATACTCAAAGATACAACACTTACAAATGACACATCAGAAAATGTCACATCATGCCTGAAACTATACAACACATTACATCTGGGTGCAAGCTCCTGGCACAGACAGATTACTTACACAGACATAATCAAGTAGTAAATATAATATACCAAGAGCTTGCAAAGAAACACAAATTATTTGACATCCACGAACCATACTACAAATATATTCCACAAACAGTATTGGAAAACAACACGCACAAAATGTATTACGACAGAGCCATAATCATAGATAAAACAATTTACCACAACAGACCAGACATCACACTCACTGACAAACATAATAAAATCACATATATTATAGACATATCCATTCCAAACACTCACAATATACAAAACACATGCACTGAAAAAATTAGCAAGTACTGTACACAGAACTCGTCCAGGAAATAAGGCATCTGTGGAGGATGGATAGGGTGCTTATTGTACCTGTCGTTCTCTCCTGTACAGGTGTGATACCACACACACTACACAAAAGCCTGGGAACATTACAATTGAGTAGAAATACATACATCACACTACAGAAGGCCACTATATTGAACACATGCCACATTGTTAGGAAATTCCTGAATACAGACACACACACTGACACACTTCTTTAATTTTAGTTTTGTTTTGGTTGCTGTGCCTTGACTCTGGTCCGGTATAGTAAACTGCCACCGGTGTGAACCGAGTATAACTCACAAAACACAATAATAATAATAATAATAATAATAAATTCTTCTGGAATTTCATCTATTAAAAGCTTTAATGGATATTATTTCATTAATAAAAAATTCTTTGAATTATTTGCTTATGTAATAGAAATCCTATATACTAATTAGATTAAGATTATTTTAAATTTAAAATATCTTAAATAAAATTATCTATAAATATATATTTGTAATAAAATTGTTGATGTTGAATTATGTATATGTATTTATAAAATAAAAATATTGTTTTTTCTATTAATTATACAAATTTTAAATTTAAATAGAATATTAAAATAGATATCACTATATAATCTTTACTAATTAAAATCACTTACAGGATTCCAATCATGAAGATCATGAAAAGTTCCTTTTCTTCCCATTAATTTTCGATAAACAACCATTGGAAAATGAACATCTAAAATTATATTGTTATAAATAGCCAATCCTAGAATGATTCCAATTAAAGTGAATTGTGCATCACTTTCAAATGATGTTGGATTAAACCAGTAAGTTTGTGTTTCAGAGTTTAAAGTGAACATTGCTGTAAAATTAAAAAAGAAATTTATATATAATAATAATCAAAACAAAAACAAAAATTTGATTTGAAATAATCAAATCAAAACAATCTAAAAAATCTAAAATTTTTTTAGATTTTTAAATTCATTATATATTGTATATAAACCTGAAAAGTTTTTAATTATAAAACTTCTATATACTTATTTTCAAAAAACAAATAATAAAATTTAAGTATAAGTGACTTATATTTTAATTTTTAGAGATCAGTGTTAATAACACTGTTATTACTAATTAATAATAATTCATAAATTAAATTTAATCTAAAAATTTTTTTGTGGATCATGAATATAATTTAAGCTTATTTAAATAACACTAATAACTAATAAAGTAAGAAACAAGATATTATTAAAATATGAATCTATTACAAATTTGAATATTTGTTGAAATTTGAAGGGGAAAAAAAGAAAAATTACTACTACAATATGAATATTCATGAAATGATTGCTTGTGATACAGAAAATACACCTCAATTTTTGATTCTCTACAATATATTTGATATATAAGAACTTTAAAATTGAAAAGAGACATTTAGATGATGTTCACTTTTATGATTCTTATGTATGTTATAGAGCAGTGATTCCCAACCCGGGGTACCCTGGGGGTATGCGGTAAGTTGTTTAGGGGTACAGAAAAAAGTTAGTTATTATGCAGAAAAAATAATATATTTTATCACAAATTAATAGTATAAAAAATTATTAGGTAAAAAATGTTCCTTGCAATAATCACAAACTTCATTATACATTTCAAAATGATAAAATAGAAATAAAAACTTATGATGCCGATTGTACAATGCAACAGATCAATAATTGTTGCACAGTTGGTCAATGGTAGTGGGAATACCATTATGCGTGATTAGTGATTATGCTACGGACTTTTGATGGTGGGGTATATTACGGTTATTATTATCATCTCTGAACAATATCCCCACGTATTGTTTAAAAAAGGAATTTTTTTTATAAAAAGTATTTTTTTATTGTTAGCAAGGAAAAGGAAATAGCTAGTTTCTCCAGATTTTCTCTACAAGCGTTAATTTTTTTCATTATTTATTCAGTATTTTTATTAATTTTTTATTGACAAGACTATGTCTTGTTTATAGAATCATACTGCCTGCTGTGTTATAAGCTTAGAGGTATGAAGGAGTACATGTCAGAAGTTGCAATTTGGCACATAGTATTAGGTGCCCAAATCATGCACGCATAAAAAAACAGACTTGTAGGTACTCAGGAAACCGAGAACCGAGTCAAAATAAAATTCAAAGTGATGACACTCTACAAACAGGCAGTGAGAGATTTGCACATGTGTTGCTGGTTAGAAAGTTGGAAATGCTACCGGGGGGGGTTAAGCTAATGAAAAAAGGTTGGGAACCACTATTATAGAGCATCAAAAATTAAGTAGTTTTTGTATCACAGAAAAACATAGTATAATGAGTTTCTATTCAGTTAATAATGAATTAAAAAAATCCAAAAGTTTCTCATTTTTGTTTTTATGAGGTGAAATCAGAAATGTTATATATATACAGTACCAAAAACCTGGTGTGTATATTAGAATTTAGAGGCCCAGTATATCATACCAAACTGCATTCATCCTGATACACTTTTGTATCAAAATTTTCAATTTTTAATATGCTAGATTTATGTAAAAACCCTGACTGAAAAAACTAAAAGTTCTAAAGTAAATAGAGAAAACAGAGCATTGCATGATTATTGTTAAACTGTTTTTCATTTTTAAGTTAATTTATACACTTGTATAACAGATTTTTAAAAATTTTATTTATTAAAATTGTATAACATCCGTTACACATTTTTAATTAATAAAATTATATGTAAAAATTGATTGTCTGAAGATTAGTTGATCTCCATTGTAGAACCATCTTTGGAAAAAGTTCAATTTATTGAACTTTAAGAGTAAGCATTAGAAACCTGTCATTAGGTTTCTGAATTATCACTAATGCTTTAAATTACTACATAAAAAAAAATAAAAAATAAAATAAAATGCATTTTATTGATATTAGTTATGTGCATTCTACTATTATACAGAAAAAAATTATTACAACACTTTTATAATATATCATTTGTATAAGTTTTATACATAAAATAAATTATTTTTAACAATATAATGTCACTATTCCCAAAAGAATGAATGCATCTGTAGTGAGAATTGTATATAAATAAATTCAGAAATGAATATTTAAGTGTACAGGATTTAGCCATAATCCTGTACATTTAATTGGAATTAATGCAATTTGATATAATGGAAATTTAAAATAAACACATTAACTTGGTCATTATGAGCACCAGACTGGCAGATCTCGTTATAACTGTTAATTGTTATATCCATAAAGAGCACTGATGTAACTGGGAGAAAATGGACAGCTACCCTGGAGGTACAGTACCTCCCCATGAATGGCAAAATTTGTAGCCCTGCTGCTAATGATTAGTGAAAACTGAAATCTACTATTTATTTTTTTTTTTTTAATCTCAATATGTTAATTGATAGATTCAAAAACAAAAAAAAAAAATTTGTAACTACATTATACTGTATTTTTAATAATACAGTTAAGTAAACTAAATATTGTTAATATTAAACAATTTATTTTTCCATAATTAAAGATAATACTAATTAATAATATACCCAATTTCAGTTAATAGTGATGTTTAGGTAAATTGGAAATGCATGGCCAGAAGCTAGTCATGAAAGAGAGACAGCCTCAAAAAACAAGTTAAGTGATAAAAAGATCTGTAATCCATGTAAGTCAAAACCCTTTCAGTTTTATCTCTTCCAAGAATTCAATATGGCATTTCTTACTACTTGAAATACTTTGAACAATTAAGAATGTTATATGTTTGTATAGCTACCAAAAATTTGCTTGATATATCCATGAAGTACACTTGTTATAACTGAGCAAATATACAGAAAAGTGTGTAAATTAAAATTGTTATTGCATTTTGCTTATTAAACAGTAAACTTGTTATATCCATGCTCATTATAACTGAATTCAACCATATATCCTTACAAAAATGCCATTCCTTATACTCTCTGCCCTTTCTTCATCTCTTCACCACAAAAAGCTTTAAGCTGATTATAAATTGATATAAATGGTTATTAGATCATTACATACTATATTAAAAAAAGGTCTGAATATAAAATTTTATAAACAACATTTAAGTTAAATAACTGAACAGTTGAAAATAAAACACTTCTTTAAAAAAGATATAAAAAGAATTTTACAGCTATAAATAATAGAATAGGAATTATAAAGCAATTATTTTCCTCATTATAGTCATAGATGTTTCTTTACATTTTGGAGAAGAGTGGTGATCATGTATATTTAGTAACTTTGGATCTTTAAATCTGAACAACTCAATTTCAAAATTTGTAAAAAGACTCTTTACAGGAGAAAAATGCACAAATTGCACATCTTGTTGTAAGTCAAAAGGAATAATGATTGATTGAAATCGGATATGTTTATTTGTTTACATTTTTGTATCGTATTAGTTAAATATATTTATAAAATTAATAATGCTATCAATGTACAAGTGTTTTATATCAATAATGGAAATAATAATAAAATTTATTTTCATATATTTTCATGCAATCATAATTTTTCCACAATTTTAAATTAAAACTTGGCTTCTCGCAGCTGCAATGTGACTACTCATGTTATTTTTTCCATGACTATTGCATGGCTAAATTTAATATATCATTAAGCCCTATACATAATAAATTAGTTTTCTTTTGTTTATTCTTCTTTGTATTACATATGTTATCATTAAAAATCAAATCAAAGTTTAATATGCTATTTTGCACATCTGTTGTATACTTTTTGCTATATATCACAGATGATGTTATTTTCATGGCCATAACTGTAATATTTTGTTTCAAGTTTTATTATTACAGTCAAACCAGTGTATAGTGGAAGCTGCCTAACGTGGAAACGGAAAGAAAAACTGGGCTGTATAACAGGAAAATAGGTATCTTTATTCAATTAAACACAAATTTAACAAGAAGTTTACAAATCTAGCATGTATAAAATATTAAAAAAAGTAAAAAAATATACATATGCAATACAGAATATCAAAATACTTTATTTATATAATTAATATTACAGTAATTTTATTAGGATTTAAACAGAACATTTTTGCATATTTTTATTAACAGCTGTTTTTACTTAACATAAATATGTGATTAATTACAAGTTGTAAAATTTAACATATTATTCCTGATGTGAAATTGTATTCTTTGTTTTGAAACTTATTTTAAACTTTTTACATCACATTTCATTTGAATAAAATTAAGTTGAAGTGTCTGCAGATAAAATACACATCAGGCATATTATGCACACTTTTTAAGTTTTGTAAAGAATATCATGCTATACATACAGCAAAAACTACTCGTACTGTGTATGGGGAAGATGCTTCTAAACTATGAATGTGTCAATATGGTTTTGAAAGTTTTGTTTGGGAACTTTGAGCTGAAGGATACAAAACATACAAACTGCCAAAAGCTGTTGAAGAGAAATTGCAGGAAGAAATTGTTAGATTGACAAATAACAACTTGTGAATTTGCAACAAATCTTAGTGTAGACACATTGTTGAAACACTTCATCCACTTGAAATGGTTGTAAAACATGCTGATGATTATGTTCAACATGCAGTTAATTTTTCTTCATTTAAGAATAAAATGAACTGAATTGAGTATAATTTTGTCTGACAAAGCAGACAGCTGTAAAGTTTTATTTTATTTTTAAATTGATTACTCATTTTTATCTTAGAGAACTTTTTTATGGATGAATGAAAAAATTGAAATTAAAATAAAAATATTTGTTATTAACTGAAAATCTAGTGGTGTATTTATTAACTGAAAATGTAGTGGGTGGTGACTGTTTGGTCAAGTACCAAGGTGCACTGTATTTGATTAATGTGATTTTGATATATGCAATAACATCAAGAAATTTATTAATCGCATTAATGGTAGGTATGGTAGGTAACCTGTATATAGTGGAAACCTAACCACAGAAGAGTTGATTAGTCCCTTGGGGTTCCATTATAGACAGGTTTGACTGTATAATCAAATTTTATAGAATATTTGAAAAATGTTATCATTATAGTATTGATNGCAGCTTTGCAAATGGCAGGCAAAGCTGCTTCTAAATATTCTGGACACTCTAACATTGGAATTTCCATTATAATTATAAATGTATTTAATAAATTTGGATCAATCTGATGGCTTTTCTTATATTTAAAATCAATTTCCAAATTTTCACAAAGAATAAGTAGTGCATTAATAAGTGCATGTTGAAAAGGATGATTAGGTATTGCAAAAAGTGCTGAAAAGGCACGCCTTAAATATACAATATATATTAACATAAAACAAAATTAATTTATACAATATATATTAACATAAAACAAAATTAATTTATACAGACACATACCAAAATCAGGATTAAATATTTCTTCCACTACCAACTGGAAAAATTCTTTTGATACTCCTCCTTCATCAATACCTTGCTCACCTTCAAATTCCACAACTAACTGTTTTTTCAAATTATTTGGATTTTCCATGGCAACCATTTCTAACTGTTTTATGTATAAAGTTTAATGTAAAATATTTATGCAAACATATTAAAACCATATCTAATTGAAAACATGAGTGGATGAAGATGTTATGTTACAAAATTAAAGTTTTGAGTGAATTAATTTATACATGAAACAGATCATCACAGAGAGTTATTACAGTGTCATTTAATTTCTAAGACCTTTGGTGAAGGTATGTAAGAAACAGATATTTTACAGATCTGTGCAGGAAAATTGAATAATGATTGTAACATAACATCTTCATCAATTCATATCTTCAATTGTTTTTCTTATAAATATTTATACATAAGCATTAATATTTATATTAAAGCACCTTAAATAAATGTGAATCAATTACAAAATATCTGAACGAACTACATTATGTGAATTAGTATTAATAATACAGTGATACTCCAAACTTATGCAATAGGTGGGACCGAGCGATAACCGTGTAAGTTGAATTCGCGTAAGTCGGGGTATAATTTCGCAATTTGTGTAAAATCCAAGTCGGATGTATGTAAGCTAATAAATGTTCTCGCTAATCTTATCTCGTCTTTCGATTCATTCATGGTTACAAGAAATCACCACATAGAGTCTATCGAGTCTCCGTAGATATAACAAACACAGAAATAAATAACACAAAATAAATTGTAGCTATGTGTCGATTCCGCGTGACACATCTGAACATGTAAGCTGAACAATAGTGTGGGGGGAGTGAGGAACGTGTAAGCTGAACAATAGTGTGGGGGGAGTGAGGAACGTGTAAGCTGAACAATAGTGTGGGGGGAGTGAGTAATCAAGGGTTGCGTGGTGCTCAAACAAAAGACGAATCGACGAGATTTGAAAATCGTGTAACTCCAGGTTCGTGTAAGTTGGAGTAGTGTGAGTCGAGGTATTACTGTATATAAAATAATATTAATCCATTAAATTGTTATTTTTGTTGTTTAACCTGCTCTTGTGTGGACTTATTAAATGCAAACACCCTATCAACAGACTTATCATCCCTCTGTCACTCGGGTCAACCATCCAGTGACAAAGTGAGCAGGTCTTACTGAACCATTGCCGAATAAGTGGTCTATAGGGAATCCTCTTGACCCCTGGCTTCTTACAATTGTTATCACAGAAAAATCCCAAAGCCCAATGTATTAATATTAAATCAAATGACCACCATAATTAATCGGACTATTTTATGCTACAATTAATTAATAAACAGAATTTCTAATTATTAATTGTAGCATAAAATAGCCCAATTAATTATGGCAGTCATTTGGCTTGATTGTTATTATACATAAATGTCAATTAATTAAGAAATTACCATTTTTCATGGCATGCACATATATATTTACATATGTATGTGTATATATACACACACACACACACGTAATGAGGAATCCATTCCTAAAGTTTTGCCCTATATTTTTGAAATACCCTGTATTTTAAAAATGAAAAGCATTTAAAGACTTTACTTATGTCTTCAGTTCAGAAGATGAACGAAGCTTTGAAAACTTCAAAGTAATTTTACTTTGAAAACTTCAAGGTATAGATTTTAAACAAAGCAAATTACAAAAATGAAAGCATGTGTTAGTGTATCAAACATCCCAAAGCCCAATATGTATATACAGGGTGTCCCAAAAGTTTCCATACAAAGGTGAAATGTAACTTAAGTCACAAAACAATAAAATGTCAGCATTAAGATTTGTGTCAGTGGATTGATGGAGTAAGGCAATGGAGCACATGGATGATCTCTCAATGGAGTACCTGCTAGCAGGACTTCCTATGTGGAAACTGGATTGTTTAGGTGTTAAACACATGAAGAAAACCTAGAACACTGCATGGTGGCCAGTCCATTGGTCAGGCACGAACCAATGACCAACTACCAGTGTTCAAAGGTTTTATTTATTTGGCCACTGGTGGACTTGATTTGTGTCAATGTATGGAGACTTTTGGGATACCCTGTAGATATATAACCAAACAATCGCCTTACATAATTGGGCTATAAATCTGCTATTTTAATGATTAATACTAAGTAATTTACTACTAGAAGTAGAGGTTAGGTGCCATCTATCTAAATTAATAATTATAATTTTAATAATTTAGATAGATGGCACCTAACCTCTACTTCTAGTAGTAAATTACTTAATATTGATCATTAAAATAGCAGATTTATAGCCCAATTATTTAAGGTGATCACTATAAGCATTTGTTAAAGTAGTAAATTACAATTTTTAAACCATAAGAACTTTAATAAACTAAAAATAATTAGAATTAACTCAAATAACTCTTAACAATAATAATATTAGAAAATAATATTTAATATTTATTAATAAGTCAACATATTTTATGTAATAAATAAAATGTCAATTACTATTATACAGATACATACTAAATTATACTTACTCCAACTAAAGCATCATCAATAATATGATCTCTTCTTATTCTTAAACGAAGATAAGGATTTGGTGGTGCACCATGAACAAGACTATGTATAATAGATTGCCTCCGTTCACTGTACATGCGTATCCGATTGTCATAATAAAGTCCCAAAGTTTTCACTGCTGGAGTTAAAATAAAGGCATAATTCATAAATGAAAAACGACCTGCTTCTGTTTTGTAATTAGCAAAATCTCTATCCATCTCTATTTGATCACTAAGTGGATCATTGCAAAATTCTTCAAAAGGAATTACAGGTTTTCGACAGTTTAAAACTTTTACTCCTAGTTCTTTTCCTAATGGATCTTCTTTAGTAAGTTTTGATTCTTTTGATTCTCTTCCAATTGAACCTGGAAGAAAATCTTGAAATCGTTCCTCTTCTTCATTTTGTTCATTTTCCTCTGTGATAAAATCTTCTTTATCCATTTCTCCTCCATAAATATTTGCATAAAATAATATTTTCATTAATTTAGTTGCTGCTACAATAATTTCTTCTTCATTTACACAATAGTCTCTAGTAAAATGGCCACTAATAACACGAAGAGTTATTAACTGATGAAGTGTATCAAGCATTTCCTTTAAACGAGTTGCTCCAACTTGTGACCAAACTTTTGCCAAATTTGCTTGTGCTTGAAGATTTAGCTGTGCTGCAGCTTTGCAAATGGCAGGCAAAGCTGCTTCTAAATATTCTGGACACTCTAACATTGGAATTTCCATTATAATTATAAATGTATTTAATAAATTTGGATCAATCTGATGGCTTTTCTTATATTTAAAATCAATTTCCAAATTTTCACAAAGAATAAGTAATGCATTAATAAGTGCATGTTGAAAAGGATGATTAGGTATTGCAAAAAGTGCTGAAAAGGCACGCCTTACAGAATATATATCAACTGTCACTTCATTTGACTTTAAATAATGTGCACATTTAACATCAGGATTATTAAAATTTTCTTTAGAGTCCTGATCTTTATCTTCATCTATTTCCATAGCACGCATATCTTCTTTGGTGAGATATTCTTTGTAAGTAAAATCATTTCTTTCTTTTAAAAAGCTAATTTTTAATGATTCCTCACTTGAGAATACCTGACCTAATGTTCTGATAAGTAAGGAATAGGAACCTTGTTGAATACATTTTTCAATTATATCTGTTAGTATCTTTTCATTTAAATAAGGTATTTGTCCTCCTGAAAAATATTCAAATAATTAGAGGTTTTCCTTAATCATAATTCCATAATTTATAATAAATACAAATTACAAAATAAAAATATTTTCATACTTGAAAAGAAATAAACCTTTAAACCAGAAAAATTTATTTTAAAAAAAACAAACACTTTTAACTTTAAAACTATCATTTTTATTGAAATCTAATAATCAGTATAGATGATAACTGATACTGATATATTAGTGCATTGGAATGTTCTTGATATATCAAAATTGGTTTGTTTTACAAACTGATGCTCTGATTTTTTCCTTTCTATACACATCTTTCACATTGTTTTCCCCATGGAAGGCATTCAAACATTACAGACATATCATGCTGTAAAACTAACCCATTAAAAAGAGCATCCTCTTCACACGATTCACCCCAATAGTCATATGATATAAGATTGTCAACACTTCTGGAAGGTACCAACTTGGTAGGGATGCTGCTCTGCACGAGACCAAATGCAAATTTTTTATACAATCAAGATATATGATTTGTCAAAACCTGTCATGACCAAAATGTATGGTTTATGCTGGAGTTAATTTGATCGCTAATTTTTGTATTTTGGACATGTATCCATTTGATTTCTATTATTTTTTAGACTTGTCATTTTTCATGCAAAATGAGACTATTATCATTGAAACATATTCTTAAAATATGTTAGCACGAGTCATTTTCTTCCAGACTGTTCTAAATTATTTACTAAATTAATTAATTATTATTATAATTATTAATTTAGATAAGAGATGGTGCCTAACATCTACCTCTAATACCAAATTACTTAATTTCTAATTATTAANGCAATGATTAATATTTAAAAAAAAAAAAATTTGTTAGGCTTAACATAGATGAAAATTCAATACGAAGTTCGTTAATAGCGCTATGCTAATATACTAATTACATGGGATATACTAATATACTATACTAATAATGTATTTTTTTCATTTTTTCGGTTATCCAATTTTTTCAGTTATCCGACCAACCTGAGTCCCCAATTGACTCGGATAATCGATGCTCTACTGTAGTTATAAAAACAAAATTGAATGTATGGAAGTGTGTGTGCGCGCACACACACATAAACACACAAAAATCACAAAATTGAAAACATATTTATATAACAATTTAGTATGAAACATCATATTTAAAAAATTGTAAATATTACAATGATATCAAGATTTTTACAAACAAAAATGATGCACTAGAAAAAATATAACTGAACAAAGTAAAATTGTTTATTTGAAAATTAAAAAGTTTTAAACACTTTTCAACGACATTTTAAAACAATATGGTTTCATATAATACCAGTGACACAAAACGAAAAAATAAATAAAAACTATAGAAACAATTGCAATCAATATAATTTAGACTATAATGAAATTATGTTGTAATAAAGATATAGTAATTCAATACAACAAAAGATATGCATATTACAGCCTACTTGGTTTTATATTAATGACAATTTAGATCTCAGACCTAATGCCATAATAAAGAATACAGTACTTGGGAAAAAAATTAAGTTTTAGATTTTTTAATAAGGAATGTTTCAATGAGAGTTGCTTATTTACAATCATATTTAGTTTGATCTCTCTGTTCTCATGCTCTCTTTCATTGATTTTTAAAGTGCCTTCCATCATGTCCTAGGCTATTCTAATTTTCTCAGTCTGTTCTTTTAGTAATAGTATACTAGTAATACTTTAACCTTTCATTAATTTCTTTAAGCAAGATATCATCTGACTTCTTCTATTTCTTTCTTTTTTTGACATCAAATTTTACAACAGATCATTTTAAATTGAAAGTTCTTACTAGGGATTGTAAATTTACCGACTTTTTCATTTACCGGTAATTCGGTAAATGAAAATTAAAATACCGGTTTACCAGTAAATTACCGGTAAATTTTTTTCTTGAAAAATAAAATTAAGGTGATAAAAAATATAAGTCATTATGATTTCCATTTCACATTTTTATTTCAAAGANCTAAATTATTTACTAAATTAATTAATTATTATTATAATTATTAATTTAGATAAGAGATGGTGCCTAACATCTACCTCTAATACCAAATTACTTAATTTCTAATTATTAATAATTGCCATAATTAGTCAGGCTATTATTTTGCTATAATTTGGTTATGAGTCATTTCATTGTGACTAATACAAAATTTCAGAGTGTTGATATTTTTTTAAATGTAAATATTTGGGACATTTAAAAATGTAATGTTTTTCTTGCTTGTAAAGAGTAATAAAATATATATAATGTTACTATACTGTGACTAATGTAACAATTGGTCCTGTAAATAAAACAGTTACACTTTCAAGATGCATTCAAATGATGAGGATACTAGTTTATATATTTAAAGTTAAAAAAAAAATTAACTGAAGACAATAATGATGATAAATAATAACAATGACAATCATTGACAGATATTCAAATAATATTAAAGCTGATATCTTAAAAGATCACAACTCTCAGACAAAACTGAATATTTGAGGTTTCATCTTTTTAGATTTTTGAAAGTTAACTGAACTTAAAGCATTTGCACAGGCTATTTACAACCACAGGTGGCTTAATTTTTTTATTATGCTTCTATAGAATAGGATATAGGTTTAGCGATTTGTAATAGACATCTAACTTTACTAACTGAAATTTCAATTTCTTTTAGATCATCAATGTTAGTCACTTCACCAGGATACTAGATATCACCTTACATGATAATATACCAGTCTCCAACATCAATGACTTCATAATTCCTTAAACCAATTGAATCTTGATTAAGTTTGTGTTAGCTTTGTGTTAAGGCTTAAAAGTCTGATTCGTCTTGCTGACTTGTAGTTACACAGTTTACAGTCTGAATGTCCTTATCCCATTAATATGGGTAAGAGCCAATGACTTTTTTAATACGTAAACAGAATTATGAATCAGTTTCTCATCATTAGTATTTTTGTAAATTGATAGTGTGAGATGATGAACTTTCTTACTGTCTTATTGCATCTTGCTTGCTGAATATGGAAACTAGCTGTAAGGTTTTAATTAGACAATTTGTTTAATGCTTCAATTTCTGTAATGATATTCTCTTCAGAAAGATGAGCAAACATTTAGGTTTGCCTTCTGAACAACTGTCTAGAAGTTATCTGAATCATCAGAAGTTAACTTCTGATGATTTCCTGCCTCTGTAATGTTTTCTGCCACACTTCTTTTAAGATTACCTCCAATTCCATCATGTGATGCTTTTCCATGGTAGGATTCACTAAAGTTCCATGAGTCATATTTGCTATCTTGCAAAGACAGTTATATAGTCCCAGTGAATAACAATTTTTGAAATTGGCTGCAGCTCTGTAAAATAATCTTTTCAACTATTAATTCTTTTTACCTCTCTGTCCTTAATGTTTTACTTTTTTGTTTTTATATTGTCTACTTGGACTTTGTTTATAAATAGGACTTATTATAGCAATGTAATTTCTGATTAGCTAAAAGAGGAAGTCTTAGTAAAAAGGTAAAACAAATATCTTTATTTTCATTATTTATCTATTTATAAACAAAGTCCAAGTAGTTAATATAAAAACAAAAATGTGATCTTTTCAAAATTACATTTTTCTGAAGTTAAAATATCCTGTATTATTTTTCTTGATTAAAAACTTCAACTACAGAAGAGGAGCACTTTTGTGTGTTGGAAATGACAGAATAATTCTGGTACCAAGTATTTGATGATTTTGTGAAATCTTTATGATAAATCATCATTGTGTATATTGTGACAGATCCAGCAGAATTGGTTTTCCAATGAGTAACTATTATTTCATTTTGATGTTTAATATTAAAGTTCTCTGCAAAGTTGATTTGTAAAATAATGATACCTTCTTCTAGTTTTTCCTTTTGAAGCCTTAACTCATAGGCTTGCCAATATATGTTGTAGTGTGCTCATTTTTTGCAGCTGTAAAGTAAGAGTTTCTTGAGATTTCACTCTGTTTCACTCCTCCAATTGACTTTTACTTTGACCACAGAGCTTGCATTTCACAGTTTAAAGAGATTTCCAGGTCACACACATATTGCAAAACCCACATTTTTAAGGTCTTAATAAGGTAGAACTAGTAAAGTTTATCTAGGGATTTTCTTGAGCAAGAAAAAAATGTTTCCTTTAATATAAACATTAAAAGTTGTTTCGGTGTTTTAAGTTCTCCTCTGAATCTGGGTCTTTGCTGATTTTGCACTCTTTCCCACCTGGTAACAGTTGAGATATTTAATCTTGCAAGTAATACAGACTTTTGTTTGAGTGTCAATGCACAACCCTTCTGGCCAGCTGATTTGTAATTCCATGACCTTTTATTTTATCCTAGAAAACAAAGCTTTTAAAATCTTTGCAAATTTTCTAGGTGCACATTTTTAGTCATAGAAAATTTGTAGAAAATTAACAAATTCAATTTCCAAATTTCTGGACTGTACATTAATAGAAGAATTAAATATGACTCTAAAACAAAAGCTGTTTGATTCTATCTGCTTCCATTTTTGAGAATTTCTGGAAAAGGTTTTCCATAGAGGAAGCAATAAATTTTTAATGCCATCTGCTGGAGATTACATGCATAACCAAAGAGGTTCAATCAGCCATAAGTTAATAATTTGCACACATAATTTGCTTTTTTAATTTTAAAATAATATTTAAAATTTTTATATTTCAAAGTAATTAATGCATAAGTGAGAAAAAAATGCTTTAGGTTGCCAAAAAAATATAATGTACAGGTGTGAAATCATATAAATGAAAACATACAACTGATGTATTTTATAATGGAGACAGTACCACAAAAAAATATTTAATGTATAATTGTGAAAAACATACAAATAAAAATGTATAAATGGGGTTAAACTGTTATGTAAAGTGTATAAATTTTATGTTCATGTGGATAAGTTATCTATGCATAAATCAGTTTTTTAATGATATTTTCCTCTAGAAATTGTATTAATAAAAAATGTGATTCCTTTCCATGTTCAAAA